AGGAGAAAATGACAGGAGACTGGCCAATCACTGAGCTTCTCAGAGTTGTTCAGGTGCATGGTATAAAGAGTAAAAAGTCTATACAGAAGTAAAAAAAAAAATGTGGTGGTGACATTGTTAAGTAGAAATATTTTACCTGAGATGTGGTTTGCATCCTCAGTGAAAACTAAATTCAGCACTGACGTATTTTTGGCAGTGAGAAGTCTGTGCTTGTCTGGTGGGAGACTAGAATGTGGGGAGAGCTACAGAAGGAGCACAGAGAGGACACAGCAGCAGTTGATTTTAATTTTAACATTCAATATGCAATAGAAGTTTATTTCGAGGGGTTGAAAAAAATGCTTCAACTCTACTGAAATTACTTTGCACACACATTATCTACACACTAACCCTTTTATCAGCAGCTCAGATGTAATTGGTCAAATTAACACAGTAATAAGTAAAAAGCCTGTGTTTATTACTTTGTCAAGGATTCTTTTCAGGCAATGAGTCTCTAAAGTCTAAAGTACATATCACCAAAGAATGAGTGTCTTCCTATGTGCTGTTTTGCAAGGCCTTTAAGTGCAGCTATCGTCAGTTATTTGTTGGTGGGTGTTTCTGCATTTGGTTTTGTGTTCAGTGAGTTAAATGCACGTGGGATCACGTTCAAGATCTTCAAATAACTCTGGGTTGTTTTCACAGTATGCTTTGAGTCACTGTCCATCTGTACTGTGAAGCACTGCCTAGTCAATTTTGCTGCCCTTTAGATGAATCTGAGCAAGAAGTGTAGCTGTATGCACGTCAGGCTTCGTCCACCTGCTTGTCTTTTGTCACATCATGAATAAGCATGTGATCTCTGTAGAAACCACACATGCCTGTGCATCTCACTGCTTCTGCTGTGATTTAGATTTGACACTGTATGATCCAGATTATTAGCCATTCAAAGGCTTCTCCGAGCTACTTTTCCCTCGTCATTTTGTTAAAATTTGAGCTTAATCTTAAGGCAAATAAATGGTTTGCGCAAATGCCGTTCTATCAGGACAAACCATGTCAAATCTAAAATAGCATTAAATTGAAACATACCAAAGTAAATCAATCTTGTTTCTTTAATTGTCAGAGAGCACTGTCATAAAAGTCCTCGCATGTTGCATCAAGCCTTTACATTACTGCCATCTTGTGGCCGCAGTCAGCTGTTGTCATCAAAAGCTGCGCTTATTTCGTGCTCATTGGAGACTGTAGCTCTCACTGACATACCACATGTCTGTCTCCTGTTAGCAATGATTGGAGCCGAGAAAGCTAAAAAGGTAGTTTGTGCAAGTGCATTGTGGATAACCCCCTGGTATTTTACGTTAAACTGAGGGGGAAACAGAGTGTAAGACTAGCTACCGCTTGTCTGTTTTCACTGTTCAGAGATCGGTTACAATCTGCACTTTTTGTGGAATCACAGTTAGCATTAGCAAGTAAATGATCTTCAGTGATTTAACATTGAAACGGAGTTTCCTCTTGCTAACCACCTTGGCTAACAGGTGTGATGGAGAGAAGATGGAGTTTCTAACTGCTAACTGCTTTAGTATAATAACAAGAAAAGTTGTGATGATGATGGAGAGAGGATGGCAGCTCTGATGATGTCCAGACTGATAAAACAGCCAGGTTGAATAGGTGCATGCTCAGCAGCAGTTTCACATTGGCATCTATAAGTATCTCTGAATTTAATATTTAACATTTAACCAGTTTCTTTGCCAGCACTCCACCTTCACCAGTTTTTGATATTTTAATCCCATCCTGTAGATATTGACAGTTGACCATATCAAACACTAGCCAAGCCTTTTAATTCAGCTGATTTTTTTATTATTAATTAAACACATTAAAGTATTAAAAATGAGCTCAACCTTAAGCATATGCAGCACTAATATTAATCCATTTAAAACTGATGGGGAACATTTTTTCTGCAGAATAATTAATTTTACTTGTGATACTTTATGCACAATTTTTCAGTAATACAGTTTTATGTGTACCAAGGTGTTTTCATTTCAGTTTGATTGCTTCTTTTCCTAAAGGAATGATTTGAAAGATTTATCCACCACTTCCCACTGTCAGCTACTAGTAAATCACTTTTGGTGGGTGATATTTGTTTATATTTATTTAACTATAGGAGTAATCATATTTGGCAATTCTTCAGCCAGGAAGGAGTGCAGAAATGTGAAGATGTCCAAGTAGTGAATAGTGAATGAAGATGTTTTTGTTTGTGTTTATGAGAGAAATGGGACGTCTCTGCTTGCCTTTCTGTAAAAGTCATCGCGCGCCACTGGTTTCCACCATTTGGTGCAACATCTATATTTTTTTCCTCATGGTTTTCTCTTTAATGTAGACTGAAAGATGGCTGGTTATATCGGGAAGGCTTATCATCACCATGGAAAGCCTCCTATGATCAACCACCACTTCAACCACTTTCTTCTGTGAACTTCTTGTGTTGCTGCAGTGCAAAATGTTAATGTTTTGACTGCATGTTGAAGGTTCACAGCAACATCTTCCAGATGTAAACCCTGCACTCAGAATCATCCTCGGCTTAATTTATGAAGAAATAATGAGTCCACACTACACACTTCATCATGCAACAGCTTCAATCTGTTGAATTAAAGCTTCCCTTTAATTGAATATTGATTCTGTCATTTTAAATCTATTGTAATTGATTGATTTGTATGGTATACTAAAAATTTCCACAACTAACACTATTGATTTATTTTCTCTGATGTACTGCTATTTTAATTTGAAACCAGCTTTAAGGTATTTATTGGTCAAATGGGAGGAATAAACACAACACTGAAACCTTTGAACTTCTTTAATGAGATATAGAAACTTGTCAGTTGCCTGTTTACACATGAAGCTATAGAGAGCAACATGCAATAAGTTGCACATTCATTAGGAGTTAGCTTACAAAATGTAGCTAAACTAACAAGCGCTAAGTGCCAGTCAAAAGTCTTGATACCTTTACTCATTTAGAAGTTCTTCTTTGTTCTCTTTTCCCTTCTTTTTTCTACTTGTAGAACAAAAAACAAATACTATATAATACAATGAACACTCAGTGGAGAGCTCCTAATGTACAAGTTTAGCTGAAGCTAATACTCAGTCAGTTTTAGCTGTTAACCCAGTGTTGAAACTTTGATCCTTTTTGCAAGGGCGATAAAATGGTGATTACAAGGTGATAACGGGAACACTTTGAAAGTCAGTTTTAACTATTGCGGAAACAAAGCGCTTAAAATTCCAATAAACACCTCGCTGACTCAGTAACAACAAAGCTGTGCGCTTCACAAAAGCAGTGCGCTTTGTACCGTGTTTAATCGTGCAGGTGTTAATGTTACTGTGACCACGCTTTCAGATCATATTGTTGGCTGGACTGTTTAAAAATCCGTCTTCCAAATTATTTGCTAATTAATGCATGAATTATTTTAATTACAACCTCATTAGCACACCTGATTATGTTTAATATATCGTGCTGATTATAGTAGGACATGATGTTTTGCTGATTGTGACAGCACGACAGCTGAGAGAGTGAGAGAGAGGCACCAGGGGACTCAGAGGACATGGCTCTGTGGGGTTTTCACCCTGTGCCAATAGGGTTAACGGCATGCAGGTCAAGACACACTTAATTCTGGTTAATCTCAGGCTGCTGCACCTGAATTATAAATAACATTTTGTCAGTTAGCTCTACACGGACACAGAGGTAGGTTTTGTTGTCCAGTTTTATCTCCAACCCAAAAGCCTTGAAGGGATGCTGACAGAGATGAAAAAAAAAAAAAAAACCCACAAATATAAACCAGAAACAGTATCCCTGCTACTCTGATAAACTGTCAGCCTTTTCCATATGGGACTATTTGTTTTGTATAAAGTAGCTGTCTGTTTCACCTGTGACAGACAGAGTGGATGCAGACAGGAGAGAAGAGGCAAAACTGAGCTGCAATGAAAACAACTGCAGATAAATCAACTAAAAGAATAAATAAATAATATTTTTTTGTGGTACCTGTGGGTCACTCTCATCTATTTATAAATGTGGGAATGGGCAACAGCTTTAAAGAGAAGGGCTTACATTTATGCACAAGTAAACTAGCTACAAAAATGTAGTACAGAGAAGCTCTGATATCTGTCTGCTGAGGACACTGCTAATTCAATTCAGTCCAATATAATTTATATAGCAATAAATCACAACAACAGTTGCCTCAAGGCATTTATATTGTAAGGTACAAACCCTACAATAATACAGAGAAACCCCAACAATCAACCAGCCCACAATGTGCAAGCACTTGGCGAGACTTAGCAGGAAGAAACCTCCTCAGACTCAGGGAAGGACATGGGGGGGGGGGTTTCGCTCACACATAAGGTCAGCAGCCAATTCATGAGCTACAGCTATTGCACTGCTTGTAATGCAAATGTCTAATAACCAATCACATGATAGCAACTCAGTGTAGAAAGCAGAAAGGTGATGTAAGTGACTTTAAACAATGCAAACAAAACAAAACACAAGGAGCACAAGTCCAGAAATACATGAATAATTCAAAACAAACTACACAGGGTCAAACCATGAGTCCACATATCAAAAAGTTCAGGGAGCTGACTGCTCAAAAATCCAAAGACACAGTTCAGGCGGCCGACCGTGCGGACAGCAACGGCGGCGGCAACGCAGGTGAGGCAAATCAGGAGGCCGGCCACGCGGAAGGCAGTGGCAGCGGCGAGAGAGCAGGTCTGGAGGCCGCCCTCGACGCCCAACTAAAAGCCTGGAAGGTGGCCGGCAAAGGCAAGGCAGTACGAGCCAAGCTGGATCTGATGATGGTGTAGCAACCGCAGGACCAGGCGAGGCAGGAGCAGACGAGGGTGGAGACACAGAGGCTGGACCTGACGGCAGCGCGGCGGCTGCGGAACCTGACGGCAGCGATGCTGCAGGCGGCAATGTTGCAGGCGGCGATGTAGAAGTCGCAGGGGATGATACAGCAGGTGACGGCTGAACAGACTTCTCTGGACCGTCAGCAGACATGAGGATGTGCTGGCTGGGTCCTCCAGGACCCCCAGTTGACGAGGCGTGGTGCTGGACGGGCTCCTCGGGCCCTCCAGCCAACGAAGCAGGAAGCTGGCTGGGTTCTCCTGAACCCCGAGCCTGAACTGATGACAAAGTTAATGATTCCTCTACCAGCTGAGCTACTGACTGGGCTATGGACTGTAACAAAGTTTGTCGTAAGTCTGGTTGTGGTAGTGACTGAGTGGCTGACGGGGCTGAAGACTGAGCTACGGGTAGTAAATGAGCATCCAAATGCAGGACTCTAAGACAGAATGCAACTCAAAACCACAGCTTTATTGCTGGCATGAAAACAAAACATGAAATAAACACGGAATGCAGAGACCAAAAACACACAGGTATAATCTGAGGGTACAATACGACAATAAGCAAGGACAAACACAGGGCTAAAATACACGGGGACGTAATCAGGGAATGGAAAACAGGAGGGAGACACAGCTGGGAGAAATTAGAGTAACGAGACAGGGGAGCAGTAAAACTGAACACACTGACAACAGACTGGGACTATCAAAATAAAACAGGAAACACAAAACAGATCACAAAGACGCAGACTTAACACTAAACTAAATCTGCAATAATATCAATAATCAAAACAGTATCACTAAATAATCAGAACATAAATCATAATTCAGAAAAAACACCAAAACCTAAGAAACAGAAAGGGCTGGGTCAAACTGATCCAGAACCGTGACATTTTCTTGAACATGACAATACATTCACCTTACTCAAATATGGCCTCCACAGTCACCAGATCTCAACCCAGTAAAGCACCTTTAGGTTTTCGTGGATGTCCAGCCGAGCTGTGTGATGATATCGTGTTGAAGTGGGCTAAAATTTCTGAGAAATGTTTCCAGCACCTTGTTGAATCTATAGCATGAAGAATTCAGGCAGTTAGATTCATATTATTTATTCAGTCTCATTAATTTCTTTGTTTGTTTGGTTTGGGTACTGTTGTTCTGTGGCAGGGAGCTGGTAGGAGGATATCTAACTATATCATGCTGAGTTCAGAGGAATAGTCTTTTGCTTCCTAAACAGCATAATAGTAGTTAATTTAAATTGGTTAATTTCCTTTCAGTGGGCTTGACGTCAGGCCCTTGTGAGACCAGTCCAGAAGCTTAATGCTAGCCTGCTTTTTTCAACTCCAAACACTTTGATGTGTGATTAGGATCATAGCTGTTGATATGAGATGAAGATGAAGAATTTGGAAGTAGTCCTTCTTCATCTTCATGAAGATGACATGATTATGTCCTTCTTCATCATGTGGATGCTACCACCATCTTGCTTGACAGCTGCTAATTTTTGCACCTTGCATCTGGTACATCTTGCAGATGAGTACAGAATCATTAAACTCCCTATGAAGAAGTAATTTTAAACATTTCCTAAGTGCAAGAGTAAGGAAGTTTTTAACATGGATTTTCCAAACATCCTATATTTATTTTGAATGTTTGCACTATTTTTACTTTACATAAGGAAAAATAAATAATTTAACATTAGCCCACCTGATGCTAATAACTAATTCTGTATCGCTTTTGCTGCAGTTATCTGTAGTTTTCAAGTCTCACACTTGAAGGTGTGTCTTGTGCAGAAGTTGTTTTTCTTCGTCTGATACTTTGCAGTCCATTCCTGTGCAGGGTTCTAGTGATTATCTTCTTTGAGACTATAATTCCTGGCTTGGCTAAGTCGTTCACTCGTGTCCTGGCAGTTGCTCCGGGGTCTTTAGGCACATCTCTCACTAGTTTTCTTTCCAGAGTCTTTGAAATGTGTGACTTCCTACCTCTGCCAGCATTGTTCTGTATTGTGTGGCTCTCTTTTCGTGATGATGCTTATCCCTCTAGTTCTTGAACTTGAAAACATTGTGATAACTTTGTATATCCATCTTCTGCTTTGTGAGCAGCAACAATTCTTTTTCTCAAGTAAACTGATTTCTTTTGTTTTTGGCATGATGCTTTCTCAAGTGACTGTTCAAACCCCCGTTGAACACAACCTTCACATTTAACTTGATTTTAGAAGCTTTGAGCATTACAAGGTTAAAGCAGATCATTGCACAGCAGTAGTTTTTGCTATGGGTCAACAAATATGTCCGTTTTTCAGCGCCTAATATTGATCCTGCTAATTTTTGTGTTTCTGAAATAATTCTGTTATTGTGTGCAAACAGAAATACTTTATGCTTTGTAAAGAAAGCTAAAATTCTGAAATGAAATCATAAAATAACCATGCTCATGGTGAGTGAAAGTAAACTTCTGATCACAACTACTCATGCATAATGTGCCCTGGAGTCAGGAAGTCGCCGAAGGCAACTTTATTAACCTGTGCAGTGGACCACGGCACAGACCTTCAGACTGTTATAAGTGCTGCGGCTTGTGAGCGACTGGAGTTTTGGGCAAATGTTGGGTTCATATCATCTGGCAGGGCTGCACCTCACTCTACACTCTTGCAGCTTGTGCTGACATATGTCAGGTGTAGGCTTAGCCCGTGTTTTCTTTGCACTAGTCGAGACAGCCATCACAACTGAGACAGCTGCGACAGCTTGCAATGGCACTGATTTAGTCAACTGTGCAGGATCCAGTCACAAAACTTCACAGATGTGTTGTTGACATCAAAATGAAGGACAGATCAAAGATGTGTGTGGTCCCACCCATGCATACTAAAAAGCACTTAGTAAGCAGGCAACAGAAAAGTCCCATTATGTAATTTATAACTCATATTTATTTGGTTTATAAAGATATTTTTAACTGGCAAATTAGTATGGCAGCCTATTTGAAAAAAAGACATGAACATTTACATAATTCTTTTATATTTTATATCGTGAGAGGATGCCACCTGTGCAACAAACCCAGTCGTGAAATTTTCCCCTGAACTAAATATTCCACAGTTAAAGTGAAAGCGATTGAGAACGACAGCAATGCAGTCATGAAGTTGTAGGCCACATAAAATCACAGAGCAGAGTGAGTGGATGCTGAGGTGCATAGTACACAGAGGTCTCCAACTTTCTGCACAGTCAGTCACTACAGACCTTCAAACCACATGTGGCCTTCAGATTAGCTCAAGAACAGTGTGTAGAGAACTTCATGGAATTTGTTTCCATGGCCAAGAAGCTGCATCCAAGCCTTACATCACCAAGCAGAATGCAAAATATCGGATCCAGTGGTGCAAAGTACGCCGCCACTGGTCTATAGAGAAGCGGAGACGTGTTCTAGAATGACTTTTGACATTATGTGGATTAGACAAAATCCAAAATGAATTCAAACTTGTGCACCTGATTCTTGTTAAAGTCCATAGAGATGTATGCTGTTAAAAAAAATCACACTAAACAAAGAGCATTTCAAAGAAATCATTCAAAGCCCCAAATTACCATGACATAATGCTGATTATGAGTTTATGTAACCACAACTGTATAACACATTAAAAAAGGCATCAACAACATCATTTGACACATTAACCTGGGGAGTCAGTTGTACTGTTTGTAGGAATTGTAGCATGGGTGTGTGTAGATTGAAAGGTATCTGGTTATATGTCAGCAAGCTTACTTGTAAAAAAAAATAATAAACTTATTCTCAAAACAAATTAAAGGGACAGTTAAACTATATATCAGATCTTAATGAATGAAATATTAAAGTTTTTGCTGACATACACTGTCATTTTCTTAAAACAAAATAAAGTAACAAGGGTCAGTGGAAACCAAAATTATCATTGCTTTACGGGCTGGATTTTTGGAGCAGCATGGACCTCATGGAGATAAATCTGACAAACCCCAAAATCTTAAAAATATTGCACCAAAGTTTAATAATAATGACATTGAAACATTCAACTTACCTCCACCTCAGCTCAGGCCTTGGCACAGTGAAAATTACTCAAATGTAAATGACCGCCCTGATGCATTTTTTCTTGACAGGTAACTTATTCACATCCCATTTTTTAATAAGGCATTTAACGCCGCGTGGGGCTAATGCAGTATTACACAGTGTTCACTCTGTAAGGCGCAGCTCCACCCCTTAACTGCATATTGATCCTATCTGTGCAATTTAGAACTGCCTCTCTTCCCTCCAACTTGCATCCACAATGCAGCCTGAACACACAGTTATATTTACGCATAGACGCACTGTGTGTGTGCGTTGGGGGGGGTTCACACTCGAATACATGACTAATAGACTGTCGACATAGATAAATGACTTTTTAAGCAAAAGAAAATTGCTCTGTGTTCCATTCACTGAACAGTAGTTTCCTCTCATCTCTCTCTCTCTGTTTCCTCTCGGTCTTTCTCCACCTTGTCCTTTTCCTTCTGCCTTTTCTCTGCTCCCTGTTCATCATATCTCCATCTCCACACCCTTGCAACGCTGGGTCCTTTCTGTTCTGCCAGTTCTCGTGTTCTCGCCCTGCTCTACTTCTGCTCACTTTTCCACCCGTGTTGCCAAAGCAACAAGTAGCCGAGGTTTGAGAGGAGAGTTGCCTCCTTTCATTTTCTTCCTTTTCTTCATTTTGTGTGAAGGAGGAGATAGAAAAAGATCTGGGACATCACAATAGTGGAATTATGCAAATTAATCCACCCAGTGACAATGGATTAGAGCGGCCTCTCTCACAGCTGACAGAAGGGGTTTAGAGTGAGCTCTGAGAGTCACTTTAAATGATTCTTGTCTCACAAATCAGATTCACATTCACGCTAATATTTCCGTGTCCAGCTTTTGCCTTTCTCCAGCCTGGATGTTTGAATGGCTTCTGTATCTGTGCACCATGTAAGGAGATCTGACTTTCTTTATAGCAGATGCTGACAGAACCTTTGCACTGAATAAGAAGACATTACTATAGCATCTCAAGTAACCAGCATATACATGTTTATGCGTTTGTCCGCTGTGTGCATGAGTGCTGAGCTGTGACAAATTAGAGTTAGAGGAGTGCATCCAACTTATTTGTTCCCAGAAGAAAGAAACCAGACATACCTCCTGCCTCCACACGTCACTTTATGTACTTCACATCTCATTTCCACCTTATTCTGCGTGCAGCACCTGGGTAATATTCTTTCAATGATCCATATTTTTCTAACAACTCGCATTAGAGCTGCATTTTA